CAGCAGGAGCATTTTTGTAGAACTCATAAGGAATACTGTCGTTACCTGAAGCTTTATTAGATTTGGTGTTTGCAAGCACAAGCTGGAGTTCACGAAATTCAAAAGGAGAATCAAGGAAAGGATTGAGAAAAGGCGGAAGACACCAAGAGATAACTGGAAGGTCGGAATTGCATGTAAGCAGGGACTCATAGTGAATACGAAAGTCTTCACATTGTAAAGAATTAGCTACTTTGAGAGGACTGTTTTTCAAATTTTTTGCTAGATTCCACCAGTCAGAAGCATTTTTAACAGTATTAAGTGCTTCAATATTTTTTAATTGCCATTGCAGTTTTTTATTACGGCAGAGGTATGCATATCGAGATCTGAGTACAAAGTAAGAAGTACGATGGGTATCCAGATTGTATTTTCGAACTAAATTAAGAAAATGAAACATATTTTTTCTAAGTTCATGACACTGGCTATCAAACCATTCATTTTTTGGGTCAAAACGCTTTTTCAAAGTCTGGTTTCCCCACGCATCGCGAATTTTTTCAAGGAACTTATCCAATTTAACATCAATCTGCATGTTAGAACTTATATAATCAGAACAAGTAGTCATTTCTAGCCGTTCTCTGTATCTACCTGCCAACGCTTCTTTCCAACGCATTTTTTTCGGAACTTGTACATTATTTGGAATTACTTCCAAACTTGATGGAAAACGAAATTCAATTACCAGCGGCATGTGATCAGAGTATGATTTGTAAAGAACATGTAAAGAGTTTATGTATCTAAGTAACTGAAATGAACAGATACAAAAATCAACAACAGTTGACCCATTTGGACCCACATATGTGAATTCTCCATCTTCATCACCTCGACACCTGCCGTTAATTATAACACCACCGATGTCCTCCAGAAAGCCTAGAAGTTTTCTTCTCTTGGTATCAAGTTTCACATCTTTTGATACTCTTCTTACCGCAATAAGTGGAGAATCAGATAATAAATTACCATCAACTACTTGATTATCTGCTACATGGGCATTTAAGTCGCCAACAATACAGTAAACGGGTTTATTAAAATCGTTTAAAAATTGTTCCAGTTTAGAAAAATCTTCCTCCCATTTTGTGCAATTTAAATAACGTGGAATGAAGAAACAGTCAACATTATTAGCACAAGAATATAGTACAACATTATCACCAAAGTATAAAAATTTAAAAGAATATATCTTCTCTAAACATTTTTTATACCCATAAAGACAACCACCACTCGCTCTTCCAGCATTATGCATTTTAGAAGCTCCCACCCAGCACAATATACATATAATCTTGAAAGAAATAAGTAAAGTTATTTTGGTTTTCGACCAGTACATGTGTTTCAAATAGAAAAAATATGTCATATAAGTTAACGAACGTGAAAAAATTTTTATGATTAAATTTACTTTTTAAATTAGCTACGTTATAAGAAAGCACCTGACACACTGGCAATTGCTAATTAGAATTCACCGGTAAGGCAACATCCACTGCAGTGTAGTCCAGGGTATTTCTTCCTGGGTTGACATCCATCAGCTGACGATTACTTATATTACTTATATTTTGTTTGACATCGCACTGCAAGCTTGTTGTAGTAAGCAAGTTATTAATCATTTTCGCATCTCCTGTTGTAGCAGCAATAATTTTGTTTTCTCTCCAAGTAAAAGGTTTGTCGTTAATAAAAAGCGAGTAGTCACCTAGTCGAACTTTAACACCAGGATGCAGTCTTCTAAGCTCATTTGCTACTGCGCCCAGATTCTGTTTTCTGGACCGTTCATCCACCGTGAGATCTCTATTTATGTAAATATTTGTACCTTTTAATTTTGTCACAGCGGATAATATCTGTCTAGCCTGCGATTCTGACCCAAGTGTTGCAATAAAAATGCCATTACCTGGTAGTTTTTTTACAGTGCACACAGATACATTTGTTTTCAACACATTACTGCACAGTTTGTGAATTTCCTTTTCAGCAGACATAACTGTGTCGCACGATAAACCTTTTACAACAATATTAGCGCGTCTACCGTCTTTATCTATGTGGTCAACCTGCATTTTTAACCGGAGCATGTCCATATACAAAAGAAACGGTGGAACATGTGTTCTTTGATTGACCGAGATATGAGAGCCACCGCAGCTCCTTGGCAAGAGCAACCAGAGAGCAGGTCACACCTGATAACATCGTCCAACTGATGTTAAAGTCAACAGAAATCTGGAACCTGGTGTGTATTTTTGCGAAAGAAATCACAGAAAAACAGAGAGCAGCAGAGAGAACTAGAAGAGCAGTAAGAGATGACAGCAATCGCTGAATCACCACCCTCCGAAGTAATGCTTAAAGGTGGTCCCGAAGGGATTTATGGTTAGAAGAGACACGGTGTTAGGATGAGGTTTAGTACGTAGGCGCAAATATCAAGCAAAAGAGTAAGTCTTGGTTGCGAATCGTGCATGCTGGTAGTACGGGCTACCAGTATCTTTTGAAGATTCCACATCCCTTAGCTCGTATAGCTTAAAAACAAAAAAAAAAAAAAACATTTGTGCACATTTGTGCAAACGTAATATGAGCAACACACTCGTGTGCAGAGAGAATTTTTTGTCGCACAGTGCGGTGCGAACATAAAATTTTCTCGCACATCTGATTGTGCACATTTTTATAAGTCAGTCGCACAGCACAAATGTGTGTGCACAAATCTGTGTGCACAATCATCGCTTTGTGCGATGTGAAATTTGAAATCGCACAACAAATTTGAGTGCGTGCATTTTTTTTCTTAACACCACAAATGTGCGTGTGCATATTTTAAAAATAATTTCCATTCGCACAGTGCAGTGTGCGATTTTGTGCACCACATTCCGAACTCTGGATAATAGTGTCTGCCACCATTAAAAACACCGTATGACGAACCATTTAAGGTTATGAAGCGTTTAGACAAGACGTATGACCTTCTAATCAAAGGAAAATCGGTGCGGGTGAGTGTTGATCGGGTAAAGGCTGCATTTTTATCAAGTGACTACGAAGCCATAAGCCTATCACGTACAGAAACTATGGCGGATACTCCAATGGATACCAAACCCAGGAATGTAACATGAAGGGGCGATTAGTGGAGGATCCAAGAAGATACGTTAAATTTGACTTAACGTGACATCGCACCTGACTCAGCCACTGCCAGGGGAGTGATATGGCGGCTGCATATTCACCACCTAATATTGAAAATGATATGAGTTGGCCTTGCAAACATGAACAAGTAAATGTTGAAAATGAGATGAGGCCAACTCATATGCAATATTTTTATTTAGTAAATAGATTGTCATTCCATTTGCGATTCGAAAACTAAGAATCGAAAACGAACACGTTTAATTTCATCACACGAAATTGAATAATTTCTTGTTTAAGTAAACAAATAAACAATTAAATTAAGTAGTGTAAAGCCTACAAATGATTTCATAAACTTTAAGTATTAGACTTTTAAAAAATTATTATTATTACACCTTTGGCTTTTTCTTTACTTGTTCCTACAGCCACCCTGGTGACAGAACATTTTAAATATTTGATTTCGTTTCATAAAAATTTTGAATTTTCGTCGCCAATACCCTTTTAGAAGATGCTAGGTGCATTTCGGAGTTCAAAGCGTAAGCGACGTAACTCATATTTTCCATTATTCACTAAGAATATTGTTTTCCTATTCTGTTATATAAGCTCTATTTGTTAAAACCCGGACATCAAATCCCGACAAGTACGAATCACAGGATCTTGTAAAGTGAAACAAAACTACTTAATTAGAGAAACTATGCTTTACTTTGTAAGTAGTATTAAAAAAACTTGTATTTTACTCGGAGCAAATTTAGGAAATACAACTCAACCAAAACTAATTCCAACTAAGTTTTAAATATCAACTGACATAATTAAATAATATTAAATCGTTCCATTGCTTATCTGATCAAATTCGTAACAATAATATAATATAATATAATATAATATAATATAATATAATATAATATAATATAATATAATATAATATAATATGTATTATAAAACATGTAATATGTATAGTAAAATATGTAATATGTATAATATAATATATAATATCTATAATATAATATATAATATCTATAATATAATATGTATAATAAAATATATAATATGTATAATATAATATATATAATGTAATATGTAATATATAATATATATAATGTAATATGTAATATATAATATATATAATGTAATATGTAATATATATAATATAATATATATAATATGTATAATATAATATATATAATATAATATATATAATATAATATATATAATATAATATATATAATATAATATATATAATACTAATATATGTATATAATATATATATATAAT